AAGTTAGATATCTGGGTGTCTACCGTAGCGTGGTACCTAATGTGCTCGTCACGCAGACAAAAATGCTACAGCAATGCGTTTTCGTTCTCCCAATTGTAGCCATATGCGAAACTTAGCTAGCTTAGTCAGTAACTACTAGTTAGTAAGTTCAATCCTCACCAAGGGCGTTCTTGGTTACATTAAGGAAATAAACTTGAGCACCTTCAGTCACGTGATTTTTATGAAATTCATTTATGCAGGTTCAGTAAAATGTGTGAAATAGTATAAGTTAATATTTTTTATGTGCAGCTTCACTCAATGACATGCGTATTCATGGTTCTACAGAACTTCCTGTTTTTGTCTCCTTCCGGTTGAAATTTATAAAATCTTTTTTTTTTAATTTTTAAGATTCACAAGTCAAGCAGATGTTAACGCTGTTTGCAGAATTCATAGAGATTTTCTTCCTAATCTTATGTCTAAAGTAGCATGGAGGATCAGCAACTTGATTATGTCATTATTTTCTCTTCGGATTAAATGTGATATCCATTTTAGGTGTTGCTGTTGAGAATCCTCAAGTGATGTGGTTTTTATTCTTTGATACAGTTCTTTATAGTTCTGTGGTGCCATTTTACGTGGTCTGACAGACCAGGTTCTATAGCCCTGGATGACAACTGGTCTACTGCAGAAAGAAGTGGCAACCTACTGCGAGAAAAAATCTGCCTCGTCAGTCATGTATCGAAAGATACATGATCGCTTAAGCGTGTATTACGCATGGCACATAATTGTCTGACTGGCACTCTTATAAATTGTCACCTGTTCTGCCACTCATGAAGTAAAAATAATAAGGATAAGGATATACGTACATCAAATCGACATTAAATTAAGTGGCAGCAGAAGAATCATCGTTGAACTTTTAAAAGGTAATCTTAAACATTAACTCAATACTTAAATGCAGCGATCAATTTTGAGTTTATCTGTAGTTTATTGATGCCTATCACATCTACTCCTCCCTAGCTTTTGTAATGATGGCCAAACAAAGAGTCCTCCACAGGAATAATTTATAATAAAACGTGCACTGCAATTTTGGATACAAAAAGAAATTAAGAGTTACTCTCCTTGGACCATGAAAGCAACGATAATGGCTAGTATAATATATTAATATATATCTTTAATCTCGCATAATCTGGTAACACTGAATCTGAGTTAGTTGTTTATAAGATACGACACATTAATGACGATTTCACGGTAATATGTAGTTCATTCAGTAATTCAAAATAAAATGACTTTTTTGTGGGTTGAATTAAATTTTCCGATTAGGGAGGACCCAGAAACAGTGGGGGCGGATTCTTGCATGGAGGTAATGCACACACTTGAACCTATTTTACCTATGGGTTGAATGGGCTCTTGCCGAGAGCACGGGCATTCGAGATATGATAGAGTCACACCGGCCTTGTAGGTTAACGCCCTCGTGGGTGGGTGATTGAATATCGTCAGTTCCGTGTTTTAGCATTTATTTGCTGCAGTCACAAATTATCTGTTTTAATAATGTTTTGTTGTAATAATAAATAAATAAATAAATAAAATTAAAAATCATAAGGAAGGATTACCGTATAACTGTATCTACAGCCGTCAGTTTTTATGGCTGTTGCAAAATATCGGCTATTATAATATCTCATGATTTATTCCTTTCAATTGAAAATCCATGTTGGATGTATGTTGTTAAAAGGTAAACAAATGGCTTATGGGAGTGTCACTGCTACATAGCGCAAAAATAAAAATGCACGGAGGTGTGATAAATGCGATGCAGGTGAGTTACATCTTTTTTAAAAATTTAGAAATATGTGAGAAGAATAAAAAATGTATAAGAAAAAAAACTATGATTACAAATTTAGAATTAAAGACGCTGCTTTGGCATAGTCAATATAACGTTAAGCATTAAAGGGGGGTAAAAAATGAATGAAAATAAAAATGTTACGATTATTTATTTGCTTGCCCGCGCATGCCTCACCATCACGCTCGTATACTCTTGCTTATATCTAGCCGTTTGATTTTCAATTTATCATATATATATATATATATATATATATATATATGAGTTCAAGCGCCCTACGAGGCTGGCATCCCGCTCTCACCCCTTCACTGTCGAAACTCCTAAATGTAGCCGTCTCTTCTACTCTAATAGCTTCATGTCTCGCACCTCTCGCCTGTGGAACTCTCTTCCCTTCTCCTGTTTCCCTGTGAGCTATAATCTCCAGCTATTCAAGTGTAATGTCAATCGACATCTCCAGTTGCCTTAATCTATCTACTACCCTCATCCTTTCCTCTATCACTACTATCTGATCTTGCTATTTTCTGTAACCCCTTGCGTCCTAGTGGCTTCCCGCCTTGCTTGGGGTGAAATGCTTAATATATATATATATATATATATATATAATTATTTATTTAAAAATATGATTCCAAATCGCTACATAAGAGGTCTCATGTTTCAAAACTAGAGCCGAAAACTTCAATATAATCCTTTAAATTAAATTGAGTTGAAAGTAAAATGGGCTCCGTTCCATCCTCAAGCGAAATTTTGTTGGAATAACGTATATCTGAAATTTACTTGTTTTAAAATTGAAATCAAAATCCCCATGGTAACAGCTATGGTGAATTTTCTAAATTGGGTAGGCGAGTGTAGGGTGTTTATATTGAGTAGCGGTATAGAGTTACTTTCAAGGTGTCAAGTCGGGGGAAAGGTGGGGCTATCAAAAATGAAACGGAAGATGTATTGGCCATCGTCTAGTTTGATTGTCTATGGAGATTTATTTATTTATTTTATTTTATTTTATTATGAAAGGAATTGTGCATAAAAAAAAAAAAAGGAAAACTTTCGTAACGTTTAGTTTTTGACGACTTCATAAAGGGTTATCTTATATGTAAGGTATTTAAACTAGTAATTTAGGCTATGGATTATGAAGTGTGTTATGTAGTATGCATGTTTGTAGTTAATTATTCCTACTATGAATCTGATGATTGGGCTATTTGTTAAACAAGTTATATTTTTTTTTTTTTTTTATCTAATAATTCAAACCAAAAATCTGATGATGCCTACAAAAAACCGTTAACTCGTGTCTATTATTTAATAGATTATTATATATATATATATATATATATAAAGTTTACACATATATATATATATATATATATATATATATATATATATATATATATATATATATATATATATATAATTTGTGTTAAACTTGCACGCGTCAATCTGTCTACATACCAATCATGATGTTTTTACAGCTTCATTTCTTTATCGGTGAAGTGATGTTATGTGAGAATCCTTCACGATTAACTCTTTCCTTGCATGTTTTGGTACCACTCTCATTGGCCATCATATTTTCTCCTCCAACCACCCCTTCTTTTATCTATACTTTTCAGGAAGGGAAGAGAAAACCTTTGCGTTTTATGATTAACGCTATGCCAAACTATAGCGCAGCTTTTGATGATAACGCAATGCAAGATTCTCTTTTTTCAGAACCGACATTCTTCCTGTTTTTCTCTCTTTGATTTCCACCTTATTTCCCTGGAATCTTTTTATTTACTTTCTTCCTTTTTTGCCCTTTGGCGTGCTTTCTTCAGATTCTCTCTTTATATTATTTTTTACCTATCCGCAATTTCCTTCTTTTTGTTTGATTTTTTTTTTATTTTTCGTTCAGTTTAACTCACCATTCATTTTCGACCTTGCACTTCATTTCTCTCTTTTCCTGTAATTATTTTTTGGTGAAAATTTCTTTTTCTTTTTCTTTCTTTCATTTTACAGTATATAACATTCTCCTTTTTTTTTTTTTTTCTTAAATTAAAATCAAGATTTTTACATCTTTAATTTCTTTCTTCAATTCCTGGAATCGTTTTTTATCTTTTACCATTCTTCTATTTGTAGACGCTTTGCTTTTTTTCTTGTTTAGTTTCTTTCTTTTTTTTTTCATCATCTCATAACCTCTTTATTATTATTATTATTATTATTATTATTAATAATAATAATAATAATAATAATAATCAGTTTATAATTATTTTTTCAAATCATATTACCTATGTACACCCACACGCACACACACACACACACACACACACACACACACATATATATATATATATATATATATATATATATATATATATATATCAAATTATTTATTAAATAGAAAATACTATGAATTTAAAGACATATATATATATATATATATATATATATGTCTTTAAATTCATAGTATTTTCTTTTTTGTTCTTACTCTTCAATTTAAAATCTTTTGCTTTCTTTTTTCTTTCTTTAATGCATGCTATCTCTCTATCTATCTATCTATCTATCTATCTTTAAATTCATAGTCTCTTACTTTTTTTTTATTCTTCTTCAATTTATATTACTTTCCTCTCTTTCTTTGTTTCTTTCTTTCTTATGGGATCTATCTATCTATCTGGTTATCTGCCGATCTATCTATATTTAAATGCATAGTCTTTTCGTTTTTATTCTACTTTAATTTATAATACTTTTGTTTGTTTATTTGTTTCTTTGTTTCTTCAGTTCATGGTATCTATCTATCTATCTATCTATCTATCTATCTATCTATCTATCTATCTATCCGTCTGTCTGGCTGTCTGTCGATCTATCAATCTTTAAATGCATAGTCTCTTCCTTGTTATTCTTCCTCAATTTATAATTTTTCTTTCTTTCTTTCTTTCTTTCTTTCTTTCTTTCTCATCTGCTGTGTGGCTCGAACCTAGACAAATACGTTGTTATGGAGTGGTTTCACAGTGGAGGCTTGTATTTGTAGTAAGTCGGTTCTAAAATAGGTTAGGAACTTGATATAATAGGTATGACGCAGAGAAATCTAATTGTGGTCGCTGAACTTAGGTATTCTAACGGTCGTCCGGCATCGACTGACTGACCGATCCACTGAGCGACTGAAATGTTACTACTACTCATACTTATTATTGGTGGGAGTGTCTATTAATTATAGAATAGGTGTGTTCCACTATAACAGATAGATAGATAGATGATAGATAGATAATGAATAAGATCGAACATTGAGAGAAATAGAACCAATATAGTAGATGATGGTCGCTGGGACCAATATAGATAGATAGATAGATAGTATCCGATAGATATTAACGGTCGTATCCGGCGTCGGCATCGACTGACTGACCGACCCACTGAGTGATATTCAGTAATCCCCCACCCACGAGGGCATCATGTGGCACAAGGCCGGTTTAACGTGGGATCTCCGATTCAGTGGGCTCAGCCAAAAATATGCCCTTTTAAAACCCGTATAAACGGGTTCAGGGTTGGTTTACCTCCCCGAAAGAGACTCCGCCCTTCGGCGTAGCCTCGTTCGGGTTCCTCTACGCCCGATGGCAGAGAGTTCAACCGGTCAGCCGGTCGTCCGAATTCAGACTGAACTCAGACCAACCCCCCTGAGCGACTCCTCGTTACTCTTACTACTCCTGCTTATTATAGGTGGGAGAGTCTATTAACTATAGAATAGGTGTGTTCCACTATAACATACGTGCTGACCGAATCATTGCTTCGCACCTGTATCCAAAAGCTGTAATCTTCGGTTCATGTTCCTCTTGTTATTAGTCAGTGTTGTTCTTTTATTCCAAATTTCAGGGGCAGATTTCGAAAGGAAGCGAAAACGATAGCTTCGGGGAAAATCGACAAAAACAGACAGAAAAGAAGGAAAGAAAGAATGAATGAGAGAAAAAGAAATCGAAAAAGAAACAGTAGAGAAAAAGGAGTAGAAAAAGAAGGAAGAGACAAAGAGAGGAAGAAAGAAAGAAAAAGAAAGAAAGGAGGCGAAAGAAATGAAACAGAAAAAGAAAGAAACAGAAAACGAGGCTGAATGGAAAGAAAAAAAAACAGATAAAAGAAAAGAAATGAGTGAGAAAGAAAGAAGAAAGGAAGACGTAAAAATGAATGAATAAAGAAAGAAAGAAGCAGAAAAGATAGAAGAATCAAAGAGAAGAAAGGAAATAAGAAAAGAAGTAGATAAGAAAGAGAGAAAGAGAGAAAGAGAGAAAAAGAGATATAAACATGAATAGACCGAGAGATAACAAAATAAAAAAATAAAAAAAATTGTATAGAATTATTTATACAGGGTGCGGCAGAAATACCTCACACATATACCACCCAGAAATACTTACCACAGAAGAGTAAAACATTAATGGCAATAGTGTCTTCATCTAGCTAATGTGGGAGGTATTTCCGACGGACCCTGTTTAATGAAATCAAAATTATATACGTGTATAGGTACTTGTGCGCAAACATACACACACAAATATTTCGGACAGACAATTATTTGTCTTAGCCATAATAACCTCGATGATGAGATTAGAAAATATCGAAAGTACCTGGGAAGAATGAAAAATGAATAAGTATAATCTCAATACCTTTCTGGTTGTTTTTATTCATGAAATAAGAAAGCTAATACGTGATTACGAAAGGATTTTATTGAAAATAAATAAACACGACATGTTTAAATTGTTTAATCAGACATGTTTAAATAAATACATATAGGCACGTATAATAATGGAGAGCGGCTCGGATTGAGAAATCGGAGAGCCGAGTTCGAATTCTAGTCGAATTCACTGCATTAACTTACGTGCTAATAATCTTGGGAAAGGTATGAACCTTCTTCTTCTCCCACCCTCCAGCTATGGGTAAATAGCAGTACAGACTGGGCTTTATAGCCTTGAGTGGCAAACGGTACAAAAGAAGGACAACTATGAATTCAGAATCTGCGGTGGGTTGTTTGGGGGCGTTGTGGCATATTGTGCACCAATTTACTGTATTTGGTTCTTCAAAAGTCTAGCTGGTTCTGCACAAACTTTCACCACTAATAAGATCAAATGATCTATGCAAGATTCTGGCTGTCGGTTTCTAAGAACTGAGTTGCTTGACCCTCATACGTCGAAATCGACGCGAGATTCGAAATATATATATATATATATATATATATATATATATATATATATATATATATATATATATATATATATAGATAGGTTGGTTAATAAAACAAAGGAAAACGAAAGAGTACCAATGTGATCAGTGCGAAAAAAATTTATTATATAATAATTTTTAACCACAGGACATTTTCAAAAAAAAGTTTCGCACGCGAGGAATCAAGCAGAGATTGGATTTTTACTAATAATACGATCTACAACGAAGTCAAACCAGACACAAGAACCACCGTTGGTGAGTCTTCCCCGTTTCTCTGTTTATTTCTCGCACCGCTGATGAAGGGCACAGGCGTGCCCGAAAATTCCGGACTAATAACATTAATCTCCGTGCTTCATTTCTGTCTTGTGATTAACAATTAATATATAATAAATGCTTTTTGCACTGATCACATTGACATCCTTTCGCTTTCCCTTGTTTTATTAACCTACCTATCTATTTTGAATAATACAAGAAGCATACGTTCTTCCATATATATATATATATATATATATATATATATATATATATATATATATATATATATTTTTATAGATGATTAATATGGAATTTTTTTCATGGTATATGGTATAGGGGTTGAATGAGAACCAAACACAGATAATTCACTTAATCTCTGTTGATTATCACATGTCGGGTAAGATAACAGTTTGACACCACTAGCCACAAGTACATCTGTTCTTTTCCTGCACACTCAACCCTTGTGATAATCAGCACAGTTAAGTAAAGGATCTGGATTTTCTTCTCATTCAACCATTTATTCTACAGCATGAGTTAAGTGAAAAAATAATCCATATTAATTCTATTAAAGCACTATTCCTGTCTTCGATATTGAGCACTCTCCTACAAAGCCTGCTTGCCTTAAATGCCTCCTTATCACCAAAAAAAAAAGAAGAAAAAAAGCAATTTTTGCTTCAAAAACTGTATTTCAAATTAACACTATATATATATATATATATATATATATATATATGGAGATAGATAGATAGTGTTATTGAGTGGTTTCACAGTGGAGGCTTGTATTTGTAGTAAGTCGGTCCTAAAATAGGTTCGACGTACAAAACGTTAGGAACTTGATATAATAGGTATGACGCAGAGAAATCTAGTTGTGGTCGCTGATATTTTAGTATCCGACTAACGGTCGTCCGGCATCGACTGACTGACCGATCCACTGAGCGACTGAAATGTTACTATTACTACTCATACTTATTATTGGTGGGAGTGTCTATTAATTATAGAATAGGTGTGTTCCACTATAACAGATAGATAGATAGATAGATAGATAGATAGATATGAATAAGATCGAACATTGACGGAAAGAGAGAGATACTAGAACCAATATAGATAGATAGATAGATAGATAGATAGATAGATAGATATGAATTAGCTAGAATATTGATAGATAGAGAGAGATACTGGGACCAATATAGATAGATAGATAGATAGATAGATAGATAGATAGATAGATAGATAGATAGATATTGATCGCTTTTCTGCACAATAATAAATATTCTTCCGTACTTGTCTCCGTTAGTGTGCATTATTACAAATACCTTGCCCGAGGTGAAATAAATTCTAGCCTGAAAGATTTCAGTATAGCCAATATCTGAACAAGCATTCCGCTATATAAACGCAAGACGCTAGGGAGGCCTTTTCGCTCTATTCCTGTCTTCGATATTGAGCACTCTCCTACAAAGTCTGCTTGCCTTAAATGCCTCCTTATCAACAAATAAAACAAGCAAAAAAAAAAAAAAAAGCAATTTTCGCTTCAAAAACTGTATTTCTAATTATCAATATATATATATATATATATATATATATATATTTATTAAAGACATTTTTATGTTTAACGTTGTTAATTATAGATAAATATATAAATATATAAATAAATCTATAGATATAGATATTTATAGACATAAAAATGTCTTTAATAAATAAATTGTCGGACCTTGTCCATTTTAATATATATATATATATATATATATATATATATATATATATATATATATATATATATCGTAAAGTGTAGCAGACTCTAAAAATACGTCTCCATTTCAGGGATCAAATGCACTGTGGTTTGTTGGGTTAAGCAGATGAGAGGCCAAACTCACTTTGTGGTGGGGGGACTTCTGTGAACCGACCCCCATTTTCTTAAAAGCCTACACTCATTCTTAAAATAAAAAAAAAAAACAAAACCATATAAAATGTCTATATAAACATATGTCCAAAAGGCTTTTACACAGAGGATATTTGAGAGGGAAATTAACAGGCGATAACTGACATTCATTAGACATGGCACGTGGAACTAGAACAGTCTACCACAGTGAGCGAAATAAAGGGTTCAGTTCGACATTCCAACCACCTGAAGAAGGCCGGAGCGTACAACGGCCGAAACGTTGCGATAAACATCGCGACAAAGATGAGGACAATAGTCCGAATAATGTAAATAGTGTACACACAACACGTCTACGCACATTTATATAGATTAATGAACTTATATATATATATATATATATATATATATATATATATATATATATATATATAAAATTTCAAAGTATACGAAGAGAAAACGAAAAATACTGGAAATGAACTAGGAGGTGAGGTAGTCGTCGTCTTCGTCGCTTGTTCACTCCAGGAATCTTCAGTGATCATTGAATTTCTACCGCAACTTCTTGGTTTTGGAAAAAGCTAAGTGTCGACCGGACAAACTCCGAATGTATTATCTCTCTCTGCTGTTTGGTCCACTGTAATCCACCAATGATGAAAAAAAGATTGAAAAAAAATTGTTTTTTTTTCTTAATTCTGCGAAAGAAGAGTAAGATGCAAAATAAATCGTTCAGTGCAAGGAAAGGTTAGCTTAAGAAAATAGCAAAAAAAAAAAAAAAAAAAATGGCGGAAAGAAATAAGATAGAGGTGACAATAGAGCGCTGAAGTAATTCATGAAAAATAAATAAAAAGCCGAAATTCTAAATGAACTGCATATTCGTACATGGCTTCGAGAATCGGTATAAAGAAAAGGTAAGTAAAAACAGAAACAAAAACAGAAACAAAAAGAAAATTAAATGAATTTGCTGGAGCCAGAAAGAGAGATGAATGGAAAGATGTGAAGGACGACTCTTTTCAATGGAGCTTTTATTTATTCCTTTGCCACACTTTCGTATCCATCCCAGTACGAAATTCTTTCAACTTCTATGAAACAGCAGCAGGAAATACCTTGAGAGATTTGAAATAAAAGTTAACCGCAGTATCTCTGCGAGTTCTTTACACAAGGAAAAAAAAAAAGTGGAAGCTCAAAACTAACACCCTAACAAAATGATCAATATACAAACACATTCTCTATCAATCTATAATACATGTACACACACACACATATTTGTGTACATACATATATATATATATATATATATATATATATATATGTGTGTGTGTGTGTGTATATATATACTCATGTATATAAAATGTATATATACACACACATATATATATATATATATATATATATATATATATATATATATATATATATATATATATATATATATATATATATATATATATATGTGTGTGTGTGTGTGTGTGTGTGTGTGTACATGCTTTAATTAGGGCATATTTAAACACAGACGGAAATTTACCAAATTCCATCTGCAACATACTTGTAGAAGATAAAACTGTAATAGCTTCATAACGGAAAGATTAATCATGAAAAAGAAGCCAACACTCTGTAACATCAATTATGAACACGCCCACAATGTACTGACCGTGTTTGATAAAAGAAAAAAAAAACGTTATCACTCTAAATACATACATACATACATATATATATATATATATATATATATATATATATATATATATATATATATGTGTGTGTGTGTGTGTGTGTTGTGTGTGTGTATATATATATATATATTTATATATAATCTACAGATTCAGTTAAAAATAGAAATAAAAATTGGAATAAAACACATCCTTTATAATAACTAACAGAATAGCCGAAAGCGCTCGGATATAGAGAAAATTTGGACCATTTTACACACTTTATGTGCAGAAAAAAAACACTGAAATGAATAAAGGAAATATTGAATAAGTAGCATAATCGTAGTGACGTGTCAGTCGTCTTTAATTAATAAATTAATTGTATAATAATATTAAATAGCCATATATATATATATATATATATATATATATATATATATATATATATTAACTGATGTCTGTTTCCAGACACCCCTCTCCCTCTTCCACAATGAAATTGTGTTTAAAGCATGTTTCGAGGATTTACTGCGTCCTCTGTTATATTCTTCTTTCTCCTTTTCGTTTTAACTTTTATTCTTTTACTTTTCATCTTTCTCTTTTCTTTCTTTCTTCTTTAAATGCTTAAATTTTTTAACTTATTATTTTGTTTAATTTCTTCACTCCTCGCCGCTGACAAATCCTTCAAGTAAGTTCTTGTCGCTTGAAATAGCTATTCACATGGGGTAATTTTGAATTCCTTTCCTATAATAATTTATATATATATATATATATATATATATATATATATATATATATGTGTGTGTGTGTGTGTGTGTGTATGTGTGTACATATATATTTACATATCTATATATATGTAGATGTAAACGTATATATATATATATATATATTTAAATTATATATATGTATATGAGCATATATATATATATATATATATATATATATATACATACATAGGATGTCCAAAATAATATACTCATTTTTTGACAGACATTAACTTCTTGAATTTTCTCCATTTCTCCAGATCCATGTATCTAATTTCATTTAATATTTAATTTAAACAGTTAATCTTTGTAAATCAATAAACATTATTTTTTAATATTAAATTTACCATAAATCTTGTTTCCAAGTCAATAAGCTCTGCGTTTATTGTAATGTAAAGAATTAGTACAATATTTGGAAAACCCTGTATCTATATATATATGTGTGTGTCTGTGTGTGTGTGTGTGTGTGTTTGCGTGTGTGTGTATTACGTACACATATATGTGCATATATGTATGTCCATACACACCCACAGACACGCACACCAGCACGCACACACACACACACACACACACACACACACACACATATATATATATGTGTGTGTGTGTGTGTATCTGTAAACTAGATAGCTCAGTAGATAGATATGATAAGACTGAGACAGATAGATAGACATGATCAGACTAAGATAGATAGTTATATAGATATAACCAGACTCAGACAGACAGACAGATAGATAGATAGATAGATAGATAGATAATGATCTGACTGAGATAGATAGATCGATAGAGTGAACATAAGAATCAATACTGCATTGTGTCTGTCACGCCTTAAGCGATCTTAAATACGCACATAAATACACACACAGACACACGCACACACACACACACATATATGTATATGTACCTGTGTGTCAAATATTTATACGATATGTATTTGTATGTATATATTTGTGTATATACTTATGTGTATGCATATCATCTGTATATAACTGTATTTATGTTGCATATGAGTATATCTGTATCTATACAAATAAATGTATTTTTTGTATTTACGTTTTTATATGTATACATATATCGATGCGTGCATATGTGTTTTGAACATATTAGTTCATATATTTTTGTATATATATTTGTGTATGTATATATATATGTGTGTGTGTGTTTGTGAATCTATACATCTACAAAATTTTCATTTATATATGCGTATATATGCAGTAGGTATAGAGACACACACACATATGTATGTGCTTGAGTGTATGCAATGTTTGTGGATGAATATGTTTGTGGGTGCGTGTAATTATAAGAATAACTACGAATTGGTCTTATTTTTTTTTAAACGTTTTCTCCTCCCCTAGTTTAGCAAAAATATATTTTTCTTTTTATTTGTTGCTCTTCTCTTTGGCTTAAATTTAGGACCCGTACAAAGAAAGAAACGACAGGAGCCATGCTGTGTATATAATTAATCAAATACAACATTCATCAACTTTAGGCTTTTTTTTTTTATCTTCTAACATTTAATCATTAAAAGGGAAAAATCCTTTTGAATAAAAATAGTTTACAAGAGAAACACATCACAAAGAGATGATACAATTTAAAAAAAAATATTTTTAAACATTTCGCTTCAATCAAGGCATTAAAGCCACTAAGTCGCAAGGGGGTTACTTCAGTACGAAAGAATATGAGAAAGGAAAAAAAACACGTTATTAAGGAGAGAAAAGCATAAAAAGAACCTGAATTAAGAAGACGGAATAAAATGATTGATATTGCATTTAAATATTTGAAGATGAAACTTGATTGGAAATCAAGAAAACTGGAAAAGAGTCCCATAAGTAGGAAACCGTGAGAGAAGAAACTGTTAGCATAGAACTTACGGTTGCCTCTAGCAATTTGAACAGTAAAATGATGAGACCGAGCCGCCAATCAGGTACTGCGCTTAGGTTCACCTATTGACCGGTTTGCACTCCACCTCGGTTTTTTTGTACAGAAGTAAAGGTTTATCTATTGTTTCTTGTTTAGATTTGGGTTTTCGGTTCCTTCTAAAGCTTTTTTTCTTCTCTTTCATTTCCAGTAAACCCTTGAACTGATCTAAAAATAAAAAAAAAAAAAACAAAAAAAAAAAAAAAAGAAAAGAAAAAAGAAAGCTCTTTAGAACAATTAACCTGAAAATATTTATAGAAAAGATACAGGGAATCTACATTACCGCGGTGGGAAATTGACTGAAACCGCGAAGACAACAACAACAACAACAACAACAAAAAAAAAAAAAAAAAACAACAACTGAAAACAGTTTATGTTTATTGGAAGATCTATTCGGACAGAAATTTCACTAAGCCTTACTAATCTATGAAATTTTGATTACAGAGAGGGTTTTTTTTTTTAAAATCATTTCACTCTTATGTAAGACAATAATGCCACTAAGACGCAAAAGAGGAAAAAACTGAGAGTGAAAAAATATGAAAATACTTTAGTGAAGAGAAAATATCATAAAATAACTGTACTCAGGAAGACATAAGATGTCGTTTAAATTTTTGAAGTGTGTAGCCGTTAGGTTTGACAGAAACTGGAGGCGAATATAAGTTACGGTTGCATCTACAGTAAAACAATGAAACCTATTTGCTAGTCTAATTCTGCATCTAAAGTCATTCGATTGAGGTACCGAGGAAGAGAAAAGCTCATTAGAACAATTTCCATGAAAGTCTTTTTAGAAAAGACACATCACGGTAGTGGACAAGTGACTGAATTCGCGATGCCAGGTCAGGGCTGATAACATTGCAGGTCGTTCTTTGGATTTTATCAAGAATATATTGTTATATAGCAGGAGAATAAGACCAGATGTGGCAGAAATATTCGATGCACGGACGAATGGTTTGGTTTGGTTTGTTTTGTGTTACGGCATACTAACCTCAATAGGTTATTTAATGCCGACAAGATTTTATTGCTGGTAATATTTTTTTTCCAAAAATGAATTGCTGGTAATATTTTTTCTTCAATAATGTATGGCTGGTAATAAATTTTTGATTGCTGGTAATAATTTTACAAAAAATGTATTGCTGGTATTAAAACCGGTTGTTACACTTTCATAGTGTTTTGACTCAAGTTTGGGGGTTAACTATTTGCTCATAGATGGGATCCTAACAGGTGCCAGGGTGGATCTGGGAACACCAGCAATTAAGAGGTGGTTCCATGCTACTCACAACCTCTTGATCAGAGTTCTTGCTGTCAGATGTATTTTATCGTCTTACCCAGGACGCGGCTGTACTTTATCGCCATATCTAGGACGCAACGGACGAATGGTACATTTTTAAACCCTCAAGATGGATTCTGGCGAGAACAGTTATTTTGCACAACACAGGGAACCAACCTTCTTAGCTGCAGACCTGTTAATTCTATAGAATCAATCGACTTCATATGAATGGAAGACGTGAGACCGGGGAGACTCAATGAGTTGCTCTTCTGGAATTTAACATTAACCATGCAGATGGAAGACAAAAATGGTTCTTTAAGATGACTAAAAGATAGCAGTTTCGTTTTGGTGGCGTTAAAATTTATAAGCCACGGACTGTTTCTCTTGAACTATCTATATCTGTAAGCCTCAAACTTATTTCTTTGGCAGGTAACTCGTTTCCAAACACACTCAGTTAATAGGGTGTCAAGCTAATCCCTATTGTTGACGCTTACTCAGGTACATCTGTTTGCGCAACACTCACTGCAGTTTCTGCTGCAACTCTGCTGAGCAGACACTAGTTACAGTTTCCGAGAGACAGCGTGCATAATCTGGCATGATCAGCAGTTTGAACAACGCCAGAACGCTCGTAACCTCGTTCACGATGACTTGTGACTTTGTGCTAGCACAGCCATCAACAGCTTCCGAACAGTTTCGTCCACCTAATTCCATTCCCAAGTCTTGGATCAACCCGTGGTATCAATTTCAGATATTTTCCGAAGGTATCACATGCTGGGGTCACCTACCCCAAGCCGCTAACATCAAGAAGTCACCTCCCTAACAAACTGACCATAGAGAATTTCGAAACCGGTTCTCATTGTAGGAAAACGTATTTTTTAACAACTCGGTCACCCTAAACTTACCCCCTCAAATAAAAACACGTTACTACAAGGTTTCTGCAGCACCACGTAGAAGTTGCAAAATTTTTATCTGCAGACATCCCAGAACGTACCTGCAACCATAACGTTATGACAGTGTTAGAGACGAGCGGTCAGTTTGGGTCCAGGAAAATACGTGATTGAAACGTTAGAGTAACACTATCACTCCGAGCAAACTACAATGTAAGAACGTTCAGTGTTAGCTAGGATATTCTCCTTACCCCCGATTACACAGACTGCTAAAAAGATATCTATCTATATAAGTGTTTCTCAACCAGTGTTTCTCAACCAGTGTTTCCCGGAACACTAGGGTTCTACAAGAGGTGGTTAGGGCTTCTGCGAGAAACAGTGATAAATAGGCTAATGTATTTTTGAGTAATTTTGGTTTAATCTTATATTCGTAATTTCACGATACACGCACGACATATTGTTGGAAAATCGTTGATTATTCTAATAAAGTCTTCAAAATTTTATATTATTTGAAATTATAATAATCATAAGGAATGTATTTAGCGATGTCTAATGGCGTCAGTATGAAATCGCCTTCACTGGTGTTATGTCTTCATTGCATTGAATGAAGATAACACGACCAAGAAGTAGTGTGTCGCTTAGAGTCGATGTAGTCGTGCTGAAATAGGTAGAAAGAAGATAAGCTAGATCTCTAACTCTCTACTTGTTTGCTCGATATTTATTGTATATATTTCGAAAGCCACTGGATGAAGATGTCTTCATTGCACTGAATGAAGATAACGCAATCAAGAACTAGTGTGTCGCTTAGAGTCGATGTAGTCTTGCTGAAATAGATAGAAAGCAGATAAGTTAGATCTCTAACTCTCTACTTGTTTGCTCCTTCTGCTGACGATTCTCAATGTCAGTCTATATGTATTTAGACGAGTCCAAGTCCGCTTCTGGAGAGGTGTCTTCATCTTCACAACACCCCCTTTTTAGATATGCACTTTCCTTAGTCGATACTTTTTTCGACATTTCACCGTTTCAGTTGGATTACATTTTTGCTTACCCTGACTTTGTATTATAATTTTAGTTTTATTGCACTGGTTGCTTATTCAATGCATATCTAGACCTCAATTGATTTATATGTTTTTTATGACGAAATCACCCACCTTCGACAACATACTGGCAAGTCGCTGAATAATTTTTCCTTCCTGCCAATATTCTTAAAGCTTTTAAAGAAAACTTTATCGCTGATCTTAAATGATATGGTAGGTTAAAATTGTCGATCTTGCTTCTTAGTCCCTGGCAGTAATTTGTCAAAAATGGATCTAACTTTTCTCGCAAACATGAGCTCTGCAGGGGACATTTTTGCGGTGACGTTTGCATTTGACGTCATCCAATACACGGTCAAAAATTCTTGTAACGACGTTTTTTTTTCAGCTTTCATGCCTTTTGATTTTCTTCCTGCTCTTTTGAAGATGTCAACAAACCGTTCCGCTTGACCATTCCACCTCGGATGATAAATCGATGTCAAGTGTTCAATCGCGTAGTTTTTGCAGAAATTTTAAAACTCACTAAATTAGTTCCATTATCTGATACTACACTGTCTGGGACTCCAAATCATGCAAAAAGTTTGCACAAGAATTTAATAGTTATTGCGGTAGTAGGCCGTTTACACTTCAATATCTCGGGTCATTTTGTGAAACTGTCAACCACAAATAAATGGTACGAACCATTTAGTGG